TTCCGTCAAGCGCGTGTCCAAACCGATCAAAAAGCAGTACAATCCAGATGAGCCCGTCCGCTGGTGGAAAGATTAACCCCTTCCATTCCAGCAGAAATGGGCGCGTTCGGGGATTGTTGTGACCGCAGTCCCCCGTCAATGGCGGGATGACGGGCTCAGATTTTTGTCCAGCCTCTTGCCGACACACGACCAATCCAGAACGTTATGGCCGCAAATATGAACGCGCTTGATATCTGACGCAATTCCGGTGACGGAGGAGTAAAGCGGTCAAAAATGTCGGGCCTCACGACATGCATCCCTGCGATGGCGATCCCCATAAGGCTTTCTCCAACGATGAAACCGCAAGCGACGAGTGTTCCTGGCTGATCGGTGCGATCAGATACCGGGCGGCGGCTCCATTTTTGGGTAACGTGCGCAACGGCACCGCCGAGGGCGATCGTGACAGAGACGTCGGATGGCAGATAGATACCCATTCCGACAGCCAGAGCCGGCAGGGTAAGACCTTTGGTCTGAAGAAACCGCTCGAAAAAGATAAAGCTTACGCCCGTGACGGCGCCGATGGTGAACATGGCCCAATCCATATCGCCGCCGAGAATGCCTCGCGCGAGTGACAGCATAAGCGTGGCTTGCGGCGCCGTCAGCACGAGATTACCGCCGTGAGCAGAAACTTCCCCGGCAAAACCGTAAGCCTCATGCAGAAGGTTGAGGATGGGAGCTGTGATGGCAGCGCCGACGACACAGCCAATGATCAGTGCGATTTGCTGTTTCCATGGGGTGGCGCTGACAAGTTGACCGGTTTTCAGGTCCTGGAGATTGTCGTTTGAGATGGCGGCGGAAGCGGTCAAAGCAGTTAGAACAAAGAGGGCAAACGCGACGTCGAGTCCCTCTTCGTGCGGGAAAAGCTGCGAAGCCCTTGATCCGATACCATGAAGACCTCGAAAAACGAGGCAGATCGCTATAATGGCGATGATCATCACCCCTGAAATGGGCGAGGACGAAGCGCCGATCAACCCGGCCATATAGCCGCAGGACGCGGCAATCAGGAAACTCAGGATCAGGCAGAGTGCGACACTTGCAATTGTAAAAAGGGCGGTCTGCGCATTGTGAGAAGGAAGGAAGCTATAAAAGCTGAGGAAGAGCGTGATCGCAACAGCGATGACCGTCGAAATGATAAACCAGGCAGGCAGATCGCGCTCACAAGGTGCGGTGTCTTGGGCGTTACGCGATTTCCATAGCGTCTTCAGCCCATCTATCACCCCCGGAGCAAGCTGTGCGAGCGTCCAGAGTGACGCGACCGCGATCGTTCCGGCGCCGATGAAGCGGACGCGGCTCATCCAGATGGTGCTCGCGAATTCCAGCAGATGACCTTCAGAGGCTAATATGCCCGTCTGTGCGCCGATGAGCGGGACAGCAATGAGCCAGGCAATGGCGACACCGACAAGCATCGCGATGCCACCACCGAGTCCGATCAGGTAACCGACCCCCAGAAGCGCGGTCGACCAAGCACCCTGCAAGCAGAAAACCGCATTTCCTGCCGACCGGATAACGGTGAAGCCGCCGGTCAGCCAGCGTAGTCCAGACGTCAGAAATGTGAAGCAGGCGCTGACGATTGTCGCCTTTCCAAGCAGGCGCAGGGAGAGACCGCTTTGGTCTGCAAAGCCAGCTTCAAGAATATGCGCGCAGGCGACGCCCT